TAAATGTGTCTCTGAGTCATGACTGTCTACAATGAGTGAGAAGCTCGAGTCCTGCTGGCTGTGTTGTTGTCAGAGTCGTGTTTACATGGACGGGACGGCCGGCTCCTCCCCTTGTGTATAAAAGCTGTTTTAGTCAAGAACTAGAGAGAAGAAGAAGAACATACTCACTGATTATTTGGATGTTAGTAAGAGTTTTTAGATCACGTTCATTCTGTGTCAGTTTACATGCGATGTGAAGCTAAGAGCTAACTAAAGAGCGCTAACATTAGCATGCTAACACAACAATGCAGGACACAGGTGATTGCAGCTCGAGCCGAGGATAAATTTGTCTGATGTTTGCTCTTAATTGTGCTTAATTATGATGCGTTCTAATTCATAACTCCTTCATGTGAACGCGAGTGTAGAAAGGTTGGAGGTGTGTCTCTGGAGAAGTGCGGAGGCTTCAGTATGGAGGAGGTGTGGCCAAACAGCAGCTTGTTTTGGTTTCATGCTGGTGCTCAAGGGCGACATCTACTGGATCAAAAATGTACACATTCTACCTTTAAGCTGTCCAAACAACTCTGATTGACTGAAAGAGGTGAACAAATGTTAATTCTTGACATTTTCTCAAGTCTAAATACCAAATAGCAGGATCATAAGCTTGAGTATATTTAAGGTTTGGCCGAACACCTCTGCATGGATGAAGGAGGAATCGTTTCAGTGCTGCTTTAATGTGACTGATGTTTTAATCGGTGTGGTCTGAAAGTTTGAAGAAATGCCTTTACTTAATTTTACTGATTGGCTTTCTTGTTGCCGTGAGATGTGAAAACTGATTCTGTTTTTAGATGTTTAAGTCGCCTTCAATCACACTGCATGTCCGCAACAGAGACATAACAAAGTTTGGCAGTCAATACGCCGTCAGTATGCTGTCAGCACGCCATCAGTACGCCTTTTAATCAAACATTTGGAACCATGGTGTAACATTGGTGTCCCAGTGTGTGGATTCAAAATTGGGTTGGAGAACTGCAGGTGGCATTTTGAGTAAACATATGTCAGGAACTCCACGTACACACAAAACTGTTCAACTCTGCTGGCTCCAAAGTCGGACATCAGGCTTTTCAGACTGCGATTTCACAACAGCGCCATAACGAAGCTCGGTGGTCATTACTTCTTTGTATTTTCATATTGATTCTGCAAAAGTGTAATATTTGTCTGTGATTCTACTTTGGGTTACAGCATTGTGTTTTCCACTGATGGTGGATGGTTTTTTGTTGACCTCTGACAGAGCTGGGCTAGCTGTTTTTACCTCTTCTAGCCTTTATGCTAAGCTATCTGCAGTTGCGATAAAGCTCTGTATTAAATTTATAGAAATGAGAATGGTATCAACGTCTCTCGTAGGTCTCATAAATAAAGCAACTCAGAGTGTTTTCCAAACATGGACTGATAATAAATTACATGAAGCTGCTTTAATGTTAGAGTACTCTAACATGTGTTCCTCTCATTTTAATCCTTGTTTACTGTGTTTTCTATCTGCAAAGTGTTACCCAAGTGCAGTTTCATAACCGGGGCCGAAGCAGTTAGTAGGAAGTGTTTTTGTTTAATATAGTAAGAGAGTGGGCAGAGAGAGAAGTTAAACAGAAGGAGCTGCAGCAGAACAGAGGACACGATTTAAAGCCTTCAAGCTGCTCCAAAGATTGTCTCTGGGCAGACCTGTGTGTGTGTGTGTGTGTGTGGTCACTCTCTGCAGCAGTATATTTTATTTGACCTGCACTGAACCCTCTCTTTCTCTCTCTCTCTCTCTCTCTGCTGAGCCACCTCAACACATTTTTTTACTTCATTAGACGATTACGATGCAGTGTAGAGGTTTGACACTCAGCGTGATCGGGGCTGCAGTCACTCTGTAATGATCATCGCTCAATAAAGAAGATGTCTGATGTGTGTTAAGGTCACTGGATAGCAGGCGAAGACTGTTATATGGATTTAAAATATGAACACTGATTTTCTGTGATCGATACAGCCAGCAGGATGGGGCCAGACATGCACACAACTTTGAATAATCTGAATCTGACATTTTAAAGGTTACATATCATACAAAATCCACTTTACAATGTTCCTCTAACACTAATGTGTCCCTAATCTGTCTACAAACCCCCCAATCATGAGAAAAGTCCATCCTCTCTGTCTTTTTCCTGCTCCACTTTTCTGAAAATGTGTGATCAAACAGGCCGTTTGGAGATTTTCCCTTCATGACATCACAAAGGGCAGTAACCCCTCCCCCTGGTGGGTGACACTCCCACAGCTAGGTGTTTGTTCTGCCCTCTGAGTCTGCCTTCTCAACATAAACAATAGGACATGGAGCGAGAAAGACCGAGACACCCAAGCCCTTCCAGAGAGGGGGCGTGGTCAGACACAGCTCATAATTTTTATCAATTGTCTGTACGGACAACCAGTTCAACTTCCATATTTTGGTCCGCACGAACTCTGTAGAACTTGGCTAATACAAGTGGGCATGAAGGGAGGGGGGCCTTAAAGAGACAGCAGCTTAAATTTATTGTTTTATACAGAGGCTGAAATGAGAGTTTTATTGACGGCAGTATCAGATAAAAAAGGAGAGCTACACACCTCGCAACGCTACTCAATAGGTGTCCCAGACGGACATAAATAAAAGTGAAAGTTAGTATAATAGATCTCCTTAAACCATTACCACATTTAGTTCACCAGAGGACCACTAGGAGTACAAGTAAAAAGGCTACAAATAAAAAGAGACAGCTCCTTCTGGTTCCCTAATATTCACCATCATCCTCCCTCTTCATCCTCCAGCTCCATTTTGCAATAAACTATTTAGAAATCCACATGTCTGTTGGTGAGATTGTTGTCAGTGTAAGCTGTGCTGAGCATGCTCTGTGGTGGTACTCACTCTCCGGTCACCGTCTTCCTCCTGCAGCAGAAACAGGCCAGAGCAGCTAGCAGCAGCAGCAGGAGCAGAGGAATGCCGATGCCCAGAACCAGGCCCAGAACCAGGTCCGGGTCCACATTGCTCTTCTGGTCTCTGTCTGCAGGATGGGGGGAGGGGCAGGTCATACCATGTGTCAGTAAAATACTCAAAGGCACAGGATGTCTTAGTGTGACTAAAGACAGTGTAAATGTCATCAGCAGGTTCATATATGACACAATAATTAGTTGGTTTTGTCTTAAATAATGACCTGATCACCATTAAAGACATAAAAGAAGAACCCGAGAGGCTCTTAATGGCTTCAGCTCTCAGTCATCATATTGATTTTGTCCGTTTATGAGCTCTGCAGTGATCCCCCCCCCCCCAAGCAGGATCGATGTAAAGTCATCTCACCTAACACACAGGACTGAGTGTTGTCCACGTCCGTCGTGCCATTGCAGATACACCTGTATCCTCCGTACGTGTTGGCGCAGAGGGCGGGGGGCACACACGCCGCCTCCTTGGTCTTACACTCATCCAGGTCTGCAGGTGTGCATACAGAAGGTCATTAAAAGTGCAGCAGTGGATTTGATGCTCTAGCTCAATGCAATTATCCTGTAGCTCCGAGAGGCAAGAACAAGATTTTCTAAGTTTGATATAATTTTCTTCTCTCTTGATTTTGATTTGGGATCGTTTTAATCATTTCGTCTGAACAATAGTTTAACAGGTGGGCAAAGGGTTTCTCAGGTTAAAAAAAAACACAGCCCTCTTGTATGTATCTAGTATGTTGTTGTAATTCTTATTTTGTCCACAAGAGGGCGGGGGTCACATAGAAATAAAACCAAACACTGTTGCCAGGAATGTCTTGAATTGAGTGTATAAACTGGGACAAAGCAAAGAACTCCTAATAAATTATCACAAAATCCAGGTCCAATCAAATACTGTGATTACTGACCTTGTTAGTTAATTTAATTTCCTTCACACATATTGAAAAAAGAAATACAAAGAAACACCTTCTTTTGGTCTGCAAACAGACTGAGTGACCTGCAGCACTGTGACTTCATTTCATTATATATGTCGTATACTATAGTATTGTCTATGGATTAACAGATTAACATTAACTGTTGCTTGTTGCAACGTGAGGATTATAAAATAATGCTAAACCTAACTAGGTTAATCACAGGATAGCCGACTCCCACTAAAGGGAGCTGTTGTATAAGTTATTAATTTTGTCGGGATATAGGTTTTCCTATATGCTGCTATGTACTTGAACGTTACTTGTCAGTACCCTTGATTTCAGACTGGTGCGGTCTAGGCTACATTCTGTAAACAAACTTCTACTGTTCCAAATAAAGATTAGATACCAAGACATAAAGTTGAGGACTGGTTCCTTTTAATTAGTAGAAGTTACCACACAGCTAATTGGCAAACTGCGGGAATTTAAGAATAAAAAATGACAATATAGCTCCTTGCAGAGTAAAGGTGCAGATAGCTTTTCTCCACATTAAGTAGTATAACAAAAGCAAACTGCACGCAGCAAGCAACTTTCTTGGCGCTGTATGCTTTGTAAAGCAGACGCTGAGATAATAGGACCGAATGACGAGCTAATGTTAGGAGCTATTAGCGGTCACAATACATTCTTTGTGAATCCCCCCTTTCAGTCCTCTGTGCATGTATGATGACATTTCAAATAAAAAGTGAATCTTGCAGTTCATGAACAAGGTTATGGTGGAATTTAAGTGGCTTAGTGTGCGTTAAGACAGCTATTGCAGTTTGTTTGAAAGGATGCAATAATGTTAATAAAAAGTAAACAAAAAGGACCTATACCTAAACCCTGTGGTATTCCATTTTTCAGAAATTAGACATACATTTTTCTTAACCTGTCAAATGTTCTTCTACCTGATTCAGGGATAACACAAAATGTTACCAAACTTTCCAAACAAGAACTCTTTGGGTGAAGACATTTGTTATCTATTCTAAATCGTAAATTCACAGAGAACTCATCTGCCTCTCAGGGCTCAAGTTACATATTGTTCAAATTAAACACCATCATGTCGAAGCTGAACAAACCATCCACTCGTATGTCATTGATGTCATAGTGGCTGCTGACTCTGGACAGGTAGTCCCTGATGTACCAGTGGGGTGTGTCACTCGACATGTTGATACGATATTCGGTCACACCTGGAGTCGAGACCGGTCCTGCATCCTTCTTACTGGCATTGTAGAATTTATTCTGGAACCCCATCGACAGGATGTCCACCAGCTGAGGAAAAGGAGAAACATGATTTCTGTGCAATGAAGTATCTTTTGTTTGTATTAAAGCTACTATGACTTGTCAGCGATGTACAGTTTTTGGGACTAGAATAAAGGTTAAAAAGCTCAGTGTGATTTAGGAAATTAATAAATATAGTTATTTTCAAATTAACAGTCAAATGGGGTTCCACAAGGTTCAGTGCTTGGTCCTATCTTGTTCACACTTTGAACAATGGAATGATATTGCTTTTTATATTATTTGTATTAACTTTATAACCTTTATTTAGCCAGATTAGTCCCATTGAGATTAGAGAGACAAGAGTAGCACTTCCTGCCATCCTTGAAGATATAAAGAAAAATGAGTTTAGTTTTGACTGCATTCAGAACAAGTTGCAGCTGACAGAAGAGTTCTGGGACCTAGACAAAAGCATTCTGAATATCTGCTAAAGCGTTTGCAGGTGTCTGAACAGCAGTAAATGGCGTTGTCATCAGCATAAAAATTAGGAGAATAATTTTGAATATTCATTGCCAAGGCAATTAATATAGATGATAAATAAAAGTGGGCCCAGAACTGAACCTTGAGGTACCCACTTGTGGATTTGCAGTACCTCAGTGGCAACAGCCTCTAACTAAACAGCCGGGAAGTTCAGTGAGGTAGTTTGCAAACCACCCAAAAGTATAGTCTGAGAACCCCTTAGCTTTAAGACAATCTGATAAGATCATCTTAAAGATCTTCCTTAAAAAAATGATTTCTGTTTTCTGATATTCAGTGCTGTGTTGCTTTGCTGATCCAGCACAGTTAACCACTGAAATCCTTCAACAAGTCTTAATGTTTTCTCTTCAATAGAGCTAGAGCTGGTTAACACTTATCATATTTCCACTCTTAAAGATTGCTGTATTGGAGTCTACAAGTATCAGAGCAAATAAAATATGTTTAAATTTCACAAGGACACAATTTGAGGACAAAATGACAAACACACAGAGAAAAAACACACACACACACACACACACACACACCTGTTTGAGTCCGTCAGGTTTGTTCTTTTCCAGCCCACAGAGACGTTGAACACGTTACACCCTGTCAACACACCACAACCGAAACACCTGTGAGACAACCTGTCTCTACCATATATGGGCATGTTAACCATAGTAACTCAAGAAGAAGAGCAAAGCTGTGATGAAGCTGACGTAGGAAACCATCAGTCTTACCTGGAGGATTAGCAGAGTCACCTGCAGAGAGACACAACATTCACTTAAAACACTTCAGTCAGAGTTGAGGTCAAAGGTTAATGCAACAAATCTGATCTGATCTATTTGGGCTAAGTTAATAAAATGTGAATTTTAAATATATCAGAATAATTTCTTTGAGTCTCTCAAACAACTATACTCAACATAAAACAGTCTTCTGCTGGCTGAACCATGAACCTGACTGTGTACGTACCACATCCGTCAGCGTCCTTGTTGTTCTGATATCTGCAGAAACAGTCGACAGCGCCCGGCGTGTTCTTACACTCAAACTTAGCGTTGGGACAGGTGGACAGCTCTGCACACTCGTCTATATCTGCACACAGACAAAGAGCTGTGATGTTGAACGGAACTGTAAACAGTAATTGTGTTAATATTCACACTGAGGCGGTCAGTACCTGTGCAGTTCTTCCCGTCTCCGGTGAATCCAGGCCGACAGTTGCAGGTGTAGTTCAGTTTGGTGCTGAGGCAGTCTGCGTCTTTGTGGCAGGGGAAGCTAAAAGGAGGGATGCACATGTCTGTGGAACGACAGAAAGGTTAATCAGAGAGTGTGTGAGGTCTCCAAACTTAATGATGTGACATCACACTATGGGATACACACCGTGCTCGAAGCACTTGTATCCCTGCTCCCCCTCAGAGACCATGTTACCGGGACACTCCCCGCAGGTGAACCGACCCGCCTTTGACCCTGACCGGCACTGCACCCCACGGAAACACGGCCTGCCTCTGCACACGTCTGCAGCGCTGCCACAGAACTTTCCACTGAATCCTTCAGGGCAGAGACAGCCCACCACCTGATCAGCACACAGATCGAGGGAACAAAGAGTTAAATACTACAAACCTTCGTCCTATTCTCTGCTCTAACATTTCTTCATCATTAAAATCAAGGAGAACCTTAAAAACAATCCTCTTCCTCTGTAACAAAAACCTTGGATCCTTTCTGTAATGTTGTCAGACACTGAAAATAACAATCTGAGCCTGTCAGAGACAAAAACAACATCTTTGAGAGGAGGTGATAGCATACCATTGTAGCCATTACTGTCTGTTTCAATGCTGCAAACTGAAGAAATCTACTGGAACAATTAAAAAACTTCTGCACCTATTATTCATCTAGGTCTCAGATTATTCAAATGTCAGACAGACTTTAATAAATATCAGCATTTCCCCTTTAAAAGCAACTGTCCTGTCATAGTTTTCCAGATCATGTCCCTTTTTTAGGAGTCCTCCAAGCAGAAAATTCTTTAGTCATTTCTAAACCAATCATTTCTGTTCATGGTCAACATCAGCTACTCTTAATCAGAGATCTGATCATCAGATGATGAGATCTTGAAGTCAGAATCTGAACTCAGTAACCGGACCTGGAACTTTCCGTGCAGGTGGTTTTCCGTAACGCTGTCGTACTGACAGGTTCCTCCGTTCAGGCAGTTGCAGACTCTGAGGACCGGGGTGAAGAGGGAGCTGCTGAGCTCGTCACTGACTCTGATGGTCAGCTGGACAGGCTGCGTGCTGAGAGGCGTCCAGGACAAGAGGCCGTCACCTGCAGACCAGAGCACCGGGGTCAAACTACAGGACGACCGTTAAAAACTGCAAAACACACTCTTACACCTGAGGGTCAAACCTGTTGCACAGGATGAACACAGGTGTAACCAGGACGTTTGGACGAAAAGAGTGATTCTTTGTGTGTGCATTGTTTAAGAATAAAGAATAATACTCAGATGATAATAACTATAGATGGAATATTTGGACGAGGAAGGTGTCCCTGTGTTCATGAAAGATGAGTATTGTTGCTGATGAGCTCCAGGATTGTAGAAGAAGGTGGACGAGGATGGAGGAGGGATGTTTGAGAGAATGGAGTCTCACTCACCGCTGCCAATGGAGGCACGAGGAGGTCGGGGGTAGAGCAGCGAGAAGGTGATGGGGTCTCCATTTGGGTCCTGAGCATTGATCTGGATGTTGAGAGTAGAGTTGACCTTAAAGTGGATCACTGTGGGCTCTGTCACTATGGGAGGCATGTTACCTGGGAAACAACACATCAGATTAACACAGTTTCATGATGTTTTTAAAAAAAAAGTCTCTGTGAAAGTGCAGCTGTCCTACCATAGATCAGAGCCAGGTTCTTAAACTTCCTCTTGGCGTCCAGAGTCTGCAGACCGAGGTCGGAGCTGCCGGTTGCCAGCGCGTCGTGGACGCACTGCAGACTGCCTCTACAGATTCTCCTCAGATCCTCCACCTCCGCAGGACTGACGCTGCCCATCAGCTGCTCTAAGGAGGGAGACACCAGGGGAGAGAGGGGGGGAGAGGAGAACAACAGGCTCTCTGGGAGTGGAACCGCCCCTACAGACACAGATGTGGTCGATCAGATAAGGTAACAGCTGGAAGCTTTATCGACTGAACGTTTTTATTTATTTCCCCTGATTGTTCCCTCAGACACGATTTTAAGAGTAGAAATAATGTTCCACTCACAGGACAGGCCGAAGTCATGCAGTCTCTCCTCAGAGGGGGGGTTGAGGTCGGCCGATAGGAGGAGCCTGCCGTCCGACTTGAGGAAGTCATCGGAGCGGTTTGAGCTCCATAGACCCATCAGACCCACGGTGCGGTTGTAGAACGTCTGAGGAACCTCCACCATGGCCGCCAGCTGGTTGCTGCCCACCACCTTCCACACCAGCACATGGAGACCACCGGCGTACACGGCCGCACAGCGAGACACTGACATGCAGCGCACGGCTAAGTCCTCCTCCCCCATGTACACCACACCTGAGAAACAACAGCCACGTCTTTTAGGGTGTAAAGACTCACCTGTGAAAATCGAGTCAAGGGGGATAGACTCCAGACTTCTAACAGGTAGGTACAGCACACTTTCTCTCTCTCCTGAGCAGGTAGGCCATCAGGTAAGTTGCTTAATATCATAATCATCTCCAAACAATCCCTTAAACTCTTAGTGACAAAAACAAGAACTGTGTGTTCTTTGAATACATCACAGCTGTTTTCACTGCAGCCATAACTCTAATCTTTCAATCCGTTTTGGATCTTTTGGTCATTTGGATTTGGAAACATTTTAAAAGGGGCAAAATAGGGGCCACCTGAAGCCTAGTATTTATTGCTCTCCCCATGTATGGAAGCTACAGTCCTCCAAGCAGACGGTCCAGGTTTGAATCTGACCTGTGGCTCCTTTTCCACATGTCATTCCCAACTCTCTCTCTCCCCCTCTCTCTCTCTGTTCCTGGTTTCCATTCTATAAATAAAGGCATAAAAAGCCCCAAAATGAACTTTTACTTTGGCCAAATTAAGAGCTGCTTCTTTTCAACCTGCTGATGAACTTTGGTGCAACAAATCGTACTGTATGTATGATGTGTGTGTGTGTGTGTGGTGTTTATTACCAACTGTGACTGGGACCTCTGTATCATCCACAAACAGCTGCAGTCCGTCTCCTGCATCTGCACATCTCCACTCAATCTGAAAGTAATACATGTAGATTAAAGACAGGTTTGAGATTCAGCGATATTCAGCAGCAGCTGGTGCAGTATTCTCCAAAGGGGGGCGCTATTTCTTACATCTCACTTGGTGCTAAAGCATAATGAATGCAGAAACAGTGAATTTTACTGAACAATGTCCAGTTAAATAAACTGAGAAAGCTGCAACCTCCGGTGTTGGAAACTAAAGCCAATGCTTAAGTGAACAAAGCTGCAGTTCTTTGAGTGTCCACTTGAGGCTGGATGCAAGAGACCCCGAAGGTCACATACACACTTCTTCTAAATTATGCTAAGCTAGGCTAATCATCATCCCATAGACAGCTAAGTTATTTACACATAAACATGAGAGCAGCATTAATCTCCACTTTTTCTTAATTGATCATTCATCTCTAAGACACACACACTGCCTCAGCGTGACACCCACACACACACACACACACACACACACACACACACACACACACACACACACACACACACACACACACACACACACACACACACACACACACACACACACACACACACACACACACACATCCTGACCTTGCCGATGCCCTGGTGGAAGGCAGCCATGCGTACCACCACTGGGACCTCCACCACACTCCTGGTCTGCGTGTGCAGCCTGTCCATCTGTCCCTGCAGGGTGAAGATGTTAGAGCCCGTGGTGGAGGACAGACGCAGGATCACAAACTCTCCCAGAGCTTTAAAGGAGAACGCTGTACCATCGAAGGTGATGAAGTGGAGGCTGCCGAACACCATCGCTGCAGGGAAACACACACAGGAGAGGTTTAAATGAAACCTTTTAAATGCACAGATATAGCACCTACAGGTTAAAATTCAAAGGAACAGAAAAAAGCCAGTTTTGCACCATCATGTGAAACTAACTGCTGCGGTTGTTCAAAAGGTTGAATCTGGATATATCTGGATTAAGAAATCCACTTTTTGCACCAGGATTAGGTAACACAATTGACCTTAGTCCTGGTTTTCAACAAAAAAAACTTCTCTCTTCAGCAGGGGAGCGTTTACTCACCTGAGCCCTGCGTCGCCTTCATGGCGGGAGTGAAGCTGTCCGAATTGGACCAGCCGTAACCTTGGCAACGGTCCAGAGGTCTCTTGTTCAGGTAAAGGTGGCACAGGGGAGAGTCCATACAGCACCACTGGAACGGCAGGAGGTCTTCGTCTGCACAGAGGAGAGAGGTTAGAGAGGGAGGGATCAGCGGGCAGAACTGCCTGTTAGCAGGAGGTCGAGGGTTTGATTCCAGCAGCTGATTGACCCTTTGAGCAAAGCGCCAAACTCTTACTGACCAACAGTAATGGTAAGAGTAACTCCAAATAACTATAATCCACCTGCTTGTACGTTATTTTTTAGTAGTTCATGGATGTAGAATAAAATCAAGATGGCACCATCAGGAGCGACTGGTTTGTATTTTAAACTCTGAGTCTTACCGATGTGTTTCTGGATGCTGTGTCCAGAGAAGTAGCGCTCACTGAAGCCGGCCAGCAGCGGCCCGTCCGGTTCGTACACGCACCTCTTCCCTGAGCCGAGTCTGTTTGACAGGATGGACCTGAACACGTGTCCCCCCGTGCCCCCCCACCGCTGACCCCTCAGAGTCTTCACTCGTGTCCCCGGGTCAGCCGTGTCCTGCAGGAAGGACAGGTCCTCCAGAGCCTGTGAGCGCGTGCAGGGACACGAGAACAGATTCTTGGTCCACTCTGAGGGGTCCAGCTCCTTCAGGGCCCACGCCTGGCACCTGATGCGAGGATCTCCGTCCAACCCCGCCCGTCCTGTCAGATCATACACCTGCTGACCCAACTTGCCCATGATGCCTTTCACCTGCTGGGGCCTGTATCTGCCCCCGGGCCCGAAGAGGTTCCCCGGTGGGACGGTGGGTTCCCTGAAGGAGGATTTTCCATCTGTGTATCCGATGAGAGAGTCGTGGTGTTTCCTCTGACCGGGACCCCAGAACATCTCTCCATAATGGGGGAGGGCGAAGGAGCGCGCTCCATCCGTGGTCAGGATGCACTGAAACGTGTTCGTCTGAAAAACATGAATCACAACACTGCAAAAACTCAAATCTTAGCAAGTGAATTTGCCTAATTTCTTATCAGAAATATCTCATTACACTATTTAAAGCCTCATTCACCTGACGAGTCCAGATAAACATCTTATTGAAAGATATAAAAGCTAAAAAATAAAGCCTACATTTCTTGTTAGGGCTAAATATATCTGCCAATTTGGGAAACAACATTTACTTTTACGTCTTTTGAAACCAGATGCGTAGTCTTTTTTCAAGAAACTTAAAAATTAAATTCTGAATGCTGCATATTTTAACTCTTTCCAAGTTATTCAGGCTGTGCTCGCTCTGCATGGTTACAACATTTACACCACACAAGATCAACAACACTAACCTTTGCTTTTTACACCTTCAGTCACAGGTGTCAGGTAAACAGAAAGCTCTGCATTTAAACGCTGTTAGTGAAACGCCCACAAGGTGGGACCAAAGTCAAACACAAGCTCTGTACTCTTATGGTCAGATTCATTTTATAATTTCATCATGTAGAAGCTGGAAATGTGTTGGTTAACACTTCTGATAATCTAATGGAGCATGCATTGATTTTCAATGTTAAGACTGCTCTACTTCTATGCAAAGATTTGACCCTATAGGATCACTCTTCTATCTGTGTTTACTCTTTTAAATATTTCTGCTCACCAAAAATTTGCATACAAGTAGGCGACCTGATCTCTCTCTTGACAAAACAACGGGCGTTTGGTGGATTTACTCACTATCACAGGGTAACAGAGTAAAATAAAATGTACAGAGGTAAACGCAGTAATTGTTGACCGTCAAGCCTACAGGTGTTAACTGACAAAAAAAAACAGAGCAACATATCGAGATAACAATGCCAGCTTTTCACTGATAACGAGATTATTTCTTGAGATCTCCAGAAAATGGCAGAAATTACATCATTATCAAATTTAAATAAATATATTGATGCATGTTGGCTTAATGCTTTGTGATTATAAACATGATTTTAACACTGTAACAAAAATAGTGCCTAATACATCTTTACACAGAAACATGCATGTCAGACATTATCTGTATGGAACGACCTTCTACATTTGAAGGTTAGCGTGATTAAAAAATGTCTTCACCTCTGAGAAGTTGACCTTCTGGTAGGAGACAGGCATCACGCGGTCCCAGGTGATCTTGAGAATCCAGGCAGGGCTGAACGCCGGCTTGTTTCTCTGCTTCTCAAACTTTGTCACCTCATCGGCTGTACGATTAAAAACTATCTGAGAGTAGACGTCGGACATAATCCTCCCGTGGTACTCCTGACAATGAGAGGATGTGTAAAAAGTTGCAGCACAAACTTTTACATTAAGGCTGCTGAACCTAACCAGGGTAACTCACCTGGTAGAGCAGCTGTCCGTCCCCGCGGGTGAGGTCAGCATCGTCCCAAAACACGGCCAACAGAGATGCGTTCATGTTGTCTGGGAAACCATCGGCTGAGGGCGCCGGCAGCAGGTACCGCTCATTCTCAGCCAGGGATTGGAACTGAACGAGGCCGTTATCAGAAAACTGAGACAGAAAAGGTCAGACACATGACATCAGACGGACGTGAAACAGGAACGTTGACATCTTTTAGTAAGTCATAAATAATATCTGTGTCTTATGTCAAAGTCAAGTTCTTTATTTTCTCTGAGTTTCATGTGTTCTTAAGTTTTATTTTGAAAGGGTTTTCTGATTGTTCTTTATGCTTCCTGTTTTATTTTGTCTTTTCCTTTCTCGTGTCTACATTTCCCTTTGCATGCTCGTTGATCTTGTCTTTAGTGTTTCCTGTTTTATTTAGTTATTCTTACGCTTGTGTTTCATTTCCTGCCTTTGTGTGTTTTCCCTCCACTGTGAGTGTGTGTAACACCTTGATTCACCTGTGTAACTAGTCACACCTGCCTTGATGACCCCAGGGTCTATTTAGGCCACATCACACATAGGCAGGTATTTCTGTCACTTTTTCTGAGCGGTTTGTGCTTTTGGATTGTGTGTAAACTCACAAAAAGCCTGTCATACAGTTTCCCCAAAAAGGGGAAACCCATTGGTGGAGTGATGTACGGAGAGTTTCCATCTTCTGTGCCGATCTTCACAGCTTTATCGCCGACCTCTGCTCCAAAGGGGTACAGGTTGCTCTCTGTGAGGGGGGGAACACAGACAGATCATTGCTGGTTTCACTTTGGACAGTTGGTTGACTCAGTTAGCTTGCTACCAAAGTCATCACTTTTTTATTTAAATCAAATAAAGCACATCAGACTGTGTCTCAGTCCAGCGGGGCTCCTCTTGTTTTTGAAGAGGTCTGAGGCACTCAGAGGGGTAGGTGTCCTGGTGACGGCCTGTATGGCTGAAACATGTTTTTATGGATCTGTTGCCCTGATGTATTAAAAGCTTTTTATGTATACTGCCTCAGACCTCTTCAATAGCTTTTAAGTTGGATCCCCGCACTGAAGGGCACCAGAGGGACTAATTCTTTTCACCCAGGCAGCTCTCCATGCATCTACTTTATGACTAGGGCTCCTCTTGTGTTCTCAGGAGGATGATCTGACAGTTAGCCTATCGCTGCCCTCTTCACTGACACATAATCACAACACTAGCTACCAGCGTTTAAAACCAAAGTGGATAGTGAAGACGCTAAACTACAGACGGCTGTTTTTTCTGAATAAACTACAGAATTATCTCAGAATTATGAGTTACGAGGGGCTGGTTGCAAAGATCTAAGTCGACAAACCAATAACAATACCATCCATGTTACTTAAAAACACAAGTACCTCCTCATGTTTCGAACCCAATTAAAAAATAAAACTGTGTTAAACTAAGCAGTCTGGGACCGCTTGCTATTTTAAGTGGTCTCACTAAGAGATTCAGTATTGTGTGGATTTTCAGGTTCTGGTCAGAAAAACAAAGTTGATCGATATTTTGTCCACCTGACAAAAAGGAAGCAGATGCTTGCTGGTAAAAGCATGGATAAAGGTGAGGCAGCGGATAAACAGCAAATCAGTAGAACCTCAGCTCAGCTTTAGCATTTATAACTCAAGCACCACAAACAGTATATTCACCTGCACTGTGGAGCAGTGTGTTGGAGGTGGTGACCCTGTTTATGCTTCTCAAAACCAAAAAAGCAAACATGTAAGAATTGCTCAAATGGGGATTATCCTGTCTCCAGAAGCCATCCTCAGCATGTCTAGATCGCTGAGTTGGAATAAGATTGCTTCCTAAACAATGTCGATATATTTGAGACCCTTTATTACATCCCTGAGCTCACATCAACTTCAAAAGCAAGCTGGATAACCCTAAAGCTACCTGAGGCTTTCAATTCAGTCTGCAAAGTTGAGGTTAGTTAGCTACAAATAAAAAGTCTGCTTTCCTTTGTCTTAAATCAAAACCTGTTAAATGCATAATGAGTCGTTGTAGAAGGACAAGCTTGATAGAGCAGCAGGACTTAATCATGGTACGTATAAATATTGAACAGAGTGATTAACATAGCTGACCATTCTGCAGCATCTTTCTGCACACTGTGCTGTTTTGGGGACAGGAACAGTTGTAAGTCCCTGGCAGGTTGGTGCAGGATGTTTGTCCTGGACATGTTTTGGGTGATGCACATTCATCCCAATCAACACATCCTTCTTTTCCATGACCATTGTCTTTGGTAGCATGCCAGCCCTGCGTGCAGGAGCATTTAAAACCTCCTGCATAGTTGGAGCAGGTGGCAGCTGAGTGACACTGCCCGTTATCCTCTTGGCACTCGTCAAAGTCTACACACTGAGGCCCGATACTTACATAACCGGGCATGCACACACATACAAAAGATCCGGGGGTGTTGTAGCAGCGAGCGAGGTGGTGACACGGTTTGGTCAAGGCGACACACTCATCCACGTCTTTGCACCAGGAGCCATTTCCAGCAAAGCCGAGTGGGCAGTGGCATGAAAAGGAGCCAGGGGTGTTCCAGCATCGTGCCAAGGGGTGGCATGGAGAATTGTCACATTCATTGGAGTCGACGCATGCCTCTTCTTCCTCGTGATGCCCCAGCAGACAGGAGCAGTCGAATGTCCCTGGCAGGTTGGTGCACACCTGGTCAAAACGACAGGTGGTGTTGTCACTGCATTCATTGATATCCTCACAGCCCAGGCTAACAGGCTTGTACCCAGGTAAACACAGACAGAAGAAGGATCCTGCTGTGTTGTTACATAACAAGTGTTCAGGGCAAGGGGTGCCATTTGGATCATGACACTCATCCACATCCTGACACTTTGTACCATTCAGTATGAACCCCTCATTACAGGGGCAACGGAAGGACCCAGGGGTGTTGACGCATGCTGAGTAGGGTTGACACACTGAAGAGTTTAGGGAGGACAAGCATTCATCGACATCCATGCACTCTGTCCCGTTACTCCAGAATCCTTTGTTGCACTCACAGTAATATGAGCCAATAGCATTCACACAAGTGCCGTTGGTGCAAAGATCCCCAGCCCCCTTGTTACTGCATTCATCAACGTCTACACACAAGTCATTAACACTGGAAAACCCTGCATCACAGACACACTGGTGGCTTCCATTTGTGTTGATGCAAGTGCTATATTCAGGGCAGGTTGAGTTGTGCAGACATTCATCTATATCCCTACAGACGGTGTTGTTGCCTTGGTATCCTTCCCAACACTCGCAGACATAAGATCCAACTGTGTTCAGGCAGTTGGAGGAATCAGGGCACTGGATTACACCAAGGGAGCACTCGTCTACATCCAAACACAGGGAACCATTGGCAGAGAAGCCATCTACACAGGTACATTCATAGCTCCCTTCAGTGTTAGAACAGGTACTGTTGTTGGGGCAAGTGAAGTTTCCCATCAAACATTCATCCATGTCCTGGCATTGTGTCCCGTTGTCTTGAAACCCTTCCCAGCAGTTACAGAGATAGGAGCCATTGGTGTTGAAGCAGTAGGAGAAGCCAGGGCAGACTTCACTTTCCGATTGTTCGCATTCATTCACATCCAAGCATTCTGTGCCACTTCCTATGTAACCGTCTTGACATTGGCAGTAGAAGGAGCCCTGATGTGGCTGGCACTTGGCTTCTGCATGGCAGACCTTACTAGCATTCAGGCAGGTGTCTTCACTCACGCATGTACCCTCTTCATACACCAGGCTCAAGATACAGGAACATGCATAAGAACCAGGAGTGTTGCTGCACGACATATTTCTGCTGCAGGTGGTGTCCAGCTGGCATTCATCCACATCATCACAAACAAAGCCGTCACCCTGGTATCCATCCCGGCACCGACAGATGTAGGACCCGTCTGTGTTGTGGCACGACGCCTGGGAGCTGCAGTTGTTTGGCAGGGTAGAGTTCTGTCCACATTCATTCACATCCTGGCAGTCAAAGCCATCGCCCTCCATGCCAGGCGGGCAGGCACAGAAGAAAGATCCAAGTGTGTTAGAGCAGCTGGCAGCTGGATGGCATCCTCCATGTTGGACTTGGCACTCATCAAAGTCTATAATTTATCCAAAATGGGACAGTGTCAGGCAAAAAGCCCCAAATTATGCTAAAAGAGAGCTCAAAGGAGTGCCCACAAGTTTATAATGAGGAGTTAATACACACCTGAGCAGTTTTTCCCGTCACCTGTAAAGCCACTCAGACAGAGGCAGGAATGGCTGCCAATTGTGTTGACACACTGAGCAAACTCACTGCACTCCTGCTGCCCTGTCTCACACTCGTTCACATCTAGAAAGATAACGGAAAGGGGAGATAAATTAAACTTTGAAAAGAAACAAACTACTTATTTTGGTGAATGCTTACAGGAAGTAAAATATATCAGACTTTTAGATGAAGAGATGGACTCATGATTTTGAAACTGACATGTCTTGTTTAAATCTTTCTCTTGCCTGGAGGACTGAGTGAATATATTTGAGTGGTATGTTCCTTCCCTTTCTGCCCAAATGGTATTGATTAGCATCAAGCGGCTACCTCAGTGAGCCCATTTCTTATTTTATTAAGTCAAAGTGTTATCCATACATTTGCATGGTGAAGGGCTTGGCTGAGTTGACTGACAGGTGGATGTACATGTTGTGGTTGTTTTTCAAGGAGACTTAAAGCCCCCCTGCACTTTACTTCTTTGTCTGTTTCAGCATTTCCAATATGCCGTCCGCCACCATTGGGCTTCAAAAATGCCTCTTCAGAAACCAGTTTGTGCCATCACTGAGACTACATACATTTTTTTTAGAATTGAAATAGGTTATGAGCCACTCTCTTAGTATGCACAGTTGATCAAAGCCAAAGAAATCTCACATTTACCTTCCATTTTTGTTTGCTTCATTCATAGAGCTTGTTTCATAGACTGGAAATAATAGTAGACCAAGCCAAAGTTACCCTTAGGCCCTTTAACAATGATTTGTTAACTGACTAGTAATTCTGGTGCTGACATGTGAAGATGATGTAATGTCAGTGTTGAGTTTCTTTTAGATTGAATCACTTAGAAAGTAACAATAAAGATTTACCGAAACATTTTGTTCCATTGAGAGAGTAGCCTCTTTTGCAGATGCAGGAAAAGGATCCTGGGATGTTGATGCACTCAGTTTCATTTGCAGGACAAATATTTTCCTGCTG